CGAGGAGAGATTCATATGTATAAGAAATATTTATTTTCTTATACGAATGTATCTCTCCTCGATAGTTTTCATTTTCAATTTTTGTTAGAGTTTTGGTACATGGGATGTCTTTTTCCGACTTGGGGCTTTGTTCACGAGATGGAGTTGTTACTAGTTAACAATTTCATCTCAAACGAAGGTTTCATATATGTAGCGGATCCTTGTTGAAATAAATTGAGTCCCAGGCACTTTGCTCTCTGGCTTTGCTAGGATCTTTCCTGTATTGGCGACAGGTAATACCTCGAAACCGCGGTCTGTAGGTGATCTATTTGAATACTTTCAGCACGGTCCTACTGCTGGATGAACGAGTAACATCTGTGAGACTAGCGTCTGTGAGGTATCTTGCATAAATATCTGTCAGATATAATTCAATATCCAGCGTGGTATCAACCGGGGAAGTAGTTGTTTTCCAACAGACCTTTACCAGAGCCTACTGTGTAGGTAGTAGGGAGAGATTAATATTTCAAAATTTATTTCAAAATATTTATTTTCTTATAGGAATGTACATAATTGGTATATAACAATCTAGACGCTAAAATTGATTTGAATTGCCTCATAAACCTTATAGTACTCAAGGTCGTCAAATTATATGTTATAACAGGAAATCAAGAAGAGAAGAAAGACTATAACGAACTCTTCGATAATAATGTTACGATGGAAGAGTCTTTGGACACTCTACTAGAAGACCACGAACCTGGCAGGTTGGAACGCAGGCCTTCCGAGAAAAACCTGAGCCAGATGCATTTCACGCCGAAACAGGGCAGGATCCTCTCGCGGTTGCTGACGCACACGCATCTTCCAGGTTTGTCCAGTTTGGACCAGATGCACCTGCTCGCTTTGGCTGACACTGTGTCAACGTGCAACACGGACTTGGCCGAACGGTTCGCTATCGACGCAGCCAAATCCGCTATGATGAAAGAGAATCCGATGGGCCAGAAGGAAGATCTGCTGACAGACAATCTGGACGATTGCGGGCTGAGGTTTTTGTTGGCAATGAAGCATTATGGGTATTTGCTGAGGTAAGTTTGATTTTTTGTTGTTGTGATTCTGTCGGTCGTTTATTTCTCATTTGGTTCATATTATATCTAACATGTCTAACTTTGTAAGGAAATACCCAAAAGGGTTCAATTTGGCACATATTTATCTTTTTGAATCTGGATTGACTGTCGATCATTAGTGTCAATTGTCATATTGTTTTTTACATTATTTTAACTGATTATACAGAAAATTAAATGAGAAATAAATACAATGAAAACAGCAAAGAAAACCTGAGAATGGACAACTGACACTAATTTTGATTGAATGAATGAATTAATTAAAAATTTACACTAAAACTGTTATGACTTACACTGATGAATATGTAGATTAGCAAATCACAAACAAAAGTGTCATTCAATATGGTCGATTGCTGAAAGAAAAAAAAAGTTTCCCAAAAAAAAAAACAAAAGAAAATAAATCGAAATCCTGAGATATTCACTTGTGGCACAACTGAACTAAAAATAAGATAGTTCTATCAGTGTATGAAAGAGTGCTCAAGAATTCCTGGACTGCTCTATGAGAATGGGATAATATCTAGAAATATTACCAGTATTGTAAATGAATTTGAAGATTTATGAGCAGTGTCTATTCGGGACCGTAGCTTTGTGGGTTGATGTGGTGGTAGTTTACTTCACTCATTCAATCGACCGCTGTGTGAACCGGTGGTTCAAGCCGCGAGGTCGGACGATCGATTTTCACTTCCTATCGCCCAACCCGTATTAGGAATGACACATTAAAAGGTAAGACCTCGTTACTCCTTAGCTCTCGCACAAGTTTCGACTTTTGATTGTTGTCGTTCGTAGGGGGGCAACATCTTGTTAATAGTAAAACAGATTTTAAACAAAACAATTTTCTTTGATAAGATTCCTCTTCAAACACAAAAAATCATAGATATTACTTTCACAAATGAAATCAAGAATACATTTTTTGTCTGTTTTAAAATCCGTTTTTCCGTTATTTTAACACCTCGACACGTGTTTTGATCACCAAGTGATCATCTTCAAGAGGAAGTTTAATCTTCCAGTGCATCACGAGTACACATTAATAATGTTTATCATACCAATAAAAACATCCTCATTCCCTAGACAATGATAAATATGTCTCATATTTGAAGATAAGAACCAAAATAAAAATCATTGCCCAATTGCCTTGTTGACTAATTTTGTAAAGGCTTTTCAGATGTCAATCTGCAACAAAATATTTCTTGATATAAAAAAATTCAATACTGCCTGAACAACGTGGCTCTATAGAAAAAAATCTATTATCAAAGCTGTATATATACAGGGTGTAATATAAGTAGGTAAAATATTCAAGTGACGTATTCCTGAGACAATTTTAAGAAGTCAATATGAACTTGTGTCCGAAAATGCTTCGTTTCAGAGATACGAGGTGTTGAAATTGAATGTTTTTGTTCGCTTTTTGAAAATAACTCTTGCAAAAAATAAGTTATTTGCACGAAATTCGGCACCCAGGGTTTTTTTGACGTAGGAAATCATAATTTCGTATTAATTTTCATGTAACATCTAGAGGGCGCTGCGTACGCTGTCATTATTTCAAATTGCCCTAACTTTTTTGACAGTAAACTTTTGGTACTTTTTATGAGAAAACCTAATTCCCACACGTTTTCCAAGTAAAAAAGGTACACCTCCTCAACAACGTTGGAGGTGATCGTTAATTTGGCTATAAAGTAATATGCATCGATATAGAAAATTGTAAATATCTCGAAAACGATCACCTCCAGCGTTGTTGAGGAAATGTACCTTTTTTACTTGGAAAAGGTGTGGAAATTAGGTTTTTTCAAAAAGTACCAAAAGTTTGCTGTCAAAAAAGTTAGGCACTTTGAAATAAATAATGACAGCGTACGCAGCGCCCTCTAGATGTTACATGAAAATTAATACGAAATTATGATTTCCCACGTCAAAAAAACCCCGGGTATCGAATTTCGTGCAAATAACTTATTTTTTGCAAGAGTTATTTTCAAAAAGTGAACAAAAACATTCAATTTCAACACCCCGTATCTCCGAAACGAAGCATTTTCAGACACAAGTTCATAAAGACTTCTTTTCTTAAAATTGTCTCAGGAATACGTCATTCTTACAACGTTTCGGCATAGTTTAATTAATTGGGTCAGTTGAAAAACTCCAGACATCACCAGAAGATGGCAAATGAGACTGTGCCGAAACGTTGTGACGATAATCCTAATGAGGCAGAAACTCATAAACCACCTAATCTATCGTCCTCAGTTGTTATGTACCATGTTCAAACAACAAAAATGAACTATGCTTTTATTCACTACGGTGTTTCACAAAGGTTTTGACCGTTTTTATGAGTCTACGGAAATATCTCTAACAAGTCGATCAATTCTGTCAGCATAAAAATTGTGTGTTTAGGATTCGATAACGTCGACGAAGGCGCTTTTTTCTAGTCCTGATTAATATTTATCTGGTTATTAATTTCATTTATTCACTCTATTTCGATCTTTAATTGTTTTTTTTTTAATCTGAAAAGTATTTGTATTAAGGAATTATTCAATAATTTCTCTAGTACTATTATGAAATTTTGTGCTGCTTTTTTACTTGTCTCTGAGTACATTTGTCTATTATATTCCTGTTAATGATCTTATTTATTGTTATATAAACTGTCCTGTAAGTTGGTTTCGTACCTGTTTGGATATTATCGAAAAGGATTTTTTCTTACGGACCTTCGACATCTGCACAGATGCTTGCCGATTGCTCAACGGACGCAGTTCCAGAAGCAGGGAGTCGGCAACAACAATCTAGCTTGGGCTTTCCATTCGGAGAGCCAGGAAGAACTTCTCAACTTAATTCCAAGCTATGCCAAGGGCGAACCTACCTGGCCTCATCTCAAAGAACTCGGCATTGGATGGTGGATCCGGAACTTGAATCTTCTGAAGCAATGCATCCAGGTTCTCGCTAAAGCCGCTTTCCAATCCAACCAAGATCCGATGGATGCTGCGCTCTATTATATCGCGCTTAACAAGAAAAACCTTTTGTGGGGTTTGTACAGGTGAGTGTGATAGTTTTTGTCAAACGCTCAATGGGTTCGAATTGAAATTTGTCCGCACTTGTTATTGTAGTTATTGTTTCTGTTTTATGGCCATCATTTTTCTTTTTAAAAACTCGTATTTTGACAAAATTCGATACTTGAAAAATTAATTATGAGTATTCTACCTCAATGATTTAATTTAGCTTCATTGTCAGAAGAATAATTTGTTAACGTAAACAACGGGGTCTAATTTTTAATATACAAGTCATTAATTAAACTTAAACTTCAAATGTAAATCATCAAATCAGAATGAAAAGATATCTTGAGAATAATATCTCACCAGGTGAGACAGCTTATTATATCTTTTGATTGCGCCAAACTGGATCTTTACCAAAAAGTTTCAGCATAGTTCTTAAGGCTCTTTTTTGTACAATGAAAATTTTCTCTGCATTTCTACTACCTCCATAAAAAATAATCTTATACCTACAAACAGACTCAAAATTTGAATGATAGACTATTCGGATTACATATGTGTCGACATACTGACCAATAATTGTCATTCAATATAAGTTTGTTTCTCCTGAACCACTCATCTGCTTTGCAGAGGCTTTCTTCAGTTATGGATATTAGACCGGGATAGTCCACTGCATTGACCAGCAAGTTTGTGTCATCCACATGATTTGTCATTTTGCAATTTTCCCCACAAATCTCCTTCAGGTTATTTAGAAAAATGATAAAAATCATTGAGCCAATTATACTACCTTGTATGCCTAATTCTAATGACATAAGCAATACCTCTGGAATTTTTGAATGCGTGTTTGAGGAGAAGACTTGTTGCTTGTATACTCATTGCTTGTATACTCATTACTATACTATTCTCGGGAGAAAGTACAAACTAACTAGCAGTTTGAATACGCCTTGCATCTACTACACAAACTTATCGTCTAAAAAATATACATAATTGAATATACCCGTAAAATAATCAAATGAAAGTGATACTGAACAGATTCGTTGAAATATTTCTGAAGACTATAAAATGGTCTATCGAGAAACAAATTTCCAGTAGTACTAAAAAAGAGTTTGCAAACCTAACGTCGATAGTTTCTATTATGGATTGAATTAAAATTGAATACCCACTTCTGTTTCACGTTAGATCGAAACGAGACGAAAGAATGACTGCTTTCTTCTCAAACAACTTCTCGGAAGACCGATGGAGGAAGGCGGCTTTGAAAAATGCTTACGCTCTTCTCGGTAAGCAACGATTTGATCACGCGGCTGCGTTCTTCCTGCTGGCAGGCAATTTGAACGATGCCGTTGAGATCTGTTTGAATCGGTTACATGACCTTCAGCTGGCCATAATCATCGTGAGGTTGTACAAAGGGGATGGGGAAGAGCTGAAGTCGTTGTTACAGAGAGAAATATTAGGATGCGATGTTAATGGTAAGTTTTTCGTTTTAGTTGAATATTTTTTTATAATTGGAGTATTTGGTTCTCAAAAGATAATAATAATGAATCGACTTTATTGATAATACAAAAAACAATATAAAGGTAAATGAAAAAAAAAGGTACAGGAGATTGTGGTACTCATTGGCGAAGTCTAGCTCAGAGCTACGATAGGTTGCCTTTTATGTTTCGGGATTTGACAACCCTATTGTTGCAATCTGGCAACTGAGAGCTCTATCGTATAGTTGGACATTTTTGTACTTATACGTACTCAGAAAGTTTTGACATACACGCGGTATTTGTGTTGTTTACAGTAACTTAAAAGATTCATCTCGGCCCAAAAGTTGTTACAAGTTGTAATACTCGAAATGAAATTACTTGTATATATACTAAATAGTACGAGGCCAAGTATGGACCCTTGTGGTACCCCACAAGTACCTTTTCTCTTGCTGACTGACCCACAGCTGTCTCTACATGGTTTAACGTATCAAATGCTTTTGAATAACAAAGAGAATAACAACAGTTGTTTTTCCTGCATCTGTCTCTCTAATAATATCATCAACAATGTTAAGTAAGGCTGTAGCACAACTGTGTCCCGGTCTGAACCCTGATTGTTCAGGCAGACCTGGCAGAGGTTATTGTAACTCAATACATCTCTTTTTTTGGCAATACAATTATCCGTGACACTTTCCAGATATCAGGAAAAATACCTTGCAGTAAACAAGAATTGACAATATTAGTTAATATTGGTAGAATTGTCGGGCAGCAAAGTAATATCATTTCTAAGTTTATTAAGTCAGGGCCAGTAGCTAGTGATTTCACCTCTAGCAAGCATTTATGAATTTCTTCGACAGTACATGCAGTTAAGAGATTGTTTTTGAATTTGCTGAGAGATATACCAGTTACTTCCAATTTTCTTTCATTAATAAGTCGAAGTGTACAATCAACAGGGTTATGTAAGCCATAATTTGTAGAATGAAACCGTAAGTGAAACAAATCGCTGGACCTTAGAATTCTGTTTGGGACATTGAAATTAATATTTTCTAGAATTTCAGGAGCAACAATTAAGCCATTCGGTAACTTGTATATGAAGATTACAGTTGTTTTGCTGTGTATCAGCTATATATCATTTACAAAAATCCCTAACTTCTGGTACTCATCGTTATGTAGAAATATCGTCACAACTTGAAAAAAGAAACATCTTTGACCTTTGCGTTCTTCACAAACGTTTTTAATTTAACAATAATTGTCCTGAACTTTGCGGAGAGTCTGGATTAGGTATTTCTGTGAAACTAACTAGAAATGTACAACGTATTCACACAGTCATCTGTCACACTAATTATTCCTTTCGTGCTTCGCTGAACAAGATACCAAGACTTGTAAATAGATATCACTCAGACATAGACATATTTGAATCAACTCTACAATCTTCTAAAAATCAATTGTTCAAATTAGAATGATGCAACTTAATACAGCAGTACCACTAGTATAAATTTGCTTAATTTGTTTAGACGGTTTTCAATTTCAGTTTGATTATTGTTCTACAAAAATTCAGATTTACAATTGTGAAATGGATTTTCCGTCAATGAATAAATAAATGAGTAAAACTTATTCGTGCAGGGGAAAACCAAGACTTGTCCAAAGCTCATCCGGATCCATTCCTTCGATCAATGGCACTGTGGTCCCTAAGAGAATACCACGCATCGCTTGACACCCTTCTGGTCGGCAACGCTGGCCACCTCCATCCGGCGCACGATGAAGAAACGAGAGAGACCAAAGAGGCAGATCCGAACGTTTTCAATTTCTACGTGTATCTCAGAACGCATCCGTTGCTTGTGCGTCACCACCTCGCCAACTACGGCAAGAAGAAGGTTTGGGTTCCTGGCGGGAAGCAGATCGTAATCGACGAATGGATTACCCCTCTGGAGAGGCAGTTGTACTTCGCAACTGCTCATGGACATTTTAGGGCTGGCTGTCCCGCTCTGGCTCTGGAGGTGCTATCCAAGCTTCCGCATGTCGTTTCAGAAAGACCGAAGAGCATTTCTGGTAAGTTCCTTATTCAAACGGTCATTTGGTCACTGATGAGTAAACGCAACATTCTATTTGGTTGAATCAATAAAAAATCCGTATTTTATTATGCAGTATCATTAATTTTCAAATCTAAAGAAATGAATTCTAAATGTTCAAGTCAGTCTCGGATATACCTATACAGTAGATTGAATGGTCTGACGCCTATCAGAAAACAACGACTCCCCTGGCTAATACCACGAAAGGCGTTGGATTATATCCGACAGGCGTCAGTGCCGGAATCTTCACAGAAAATTTCCTGCATATGCAATTGGCAATACAACTGAAAGAGTCGACCTTCAATTTTGGAACGGGCACACTTGCAGACCGGTTTCGGGCT